AACCAGGTTGTTGATATCTTTACGAAAAGTATTTCTCGACTTCTCTTTGAATTTTTCCGATCCAAACTTCACATTCGTTCAAATCCAACGCTCATCTTGCAGGGGTATTAAGGATATTTAGTACTAAATTATAATCTACCATATATATCATATTTGATATTTTATTATAAGACAAATATAACCCTAAACCGTAAACCCTAGATATTTGCCTTCTTCCCAGGGTATCTTTACATTTATTGTTATTTCCATTTATTACTCTTTCCATATCATAGTAATTTATTTGACTATAAATAAGATAAGTTTCGCATCATTTAGGTGTGGTGGATTAAGCAAACATTCTCAGGATGGTTTCAATTGCGCCATTAAAGCCTCGATTTTTGGCAAAGTTCATTATTATTATTATTATTTAAATCAAACCGTTACATATAAAATATAATTACGTTGATAAAACAAATTTTGTACCAAACTATAATTATGAAAAATTCATAAGGATTATATTCATAAATATAATTTGTCATATAATACTCAACTCTATATATAATGGAAGTATTAATAATTAATTAATGAAAATTAATCTATTAAAGAGTTTAGTTCATGAGTTGTATGAATGGAAGCTTAAACTTATCCATATGATCCCTTTATTAGTTCTTAATTAATACTAAGATCATAAATTCAAAATACTAAACTCATAAATTTATTTGAAATTTTTTAAGTAAAAATTTAATATATTTAATATATTTAATAGAAAAGAGAAGGATATTATATGATATTATAATATTGTACCATCATTTCCAAATTACAAGACATAAACAAAGCTTATAATGATATTATATGATAAAATTGAGTATTCAATAATTTAATCTAGCTTATGCTGATGCAAAAGGACATGATTTTGATTGTTAGAAATAGTTTAAGCTGTAAGTAACCCTTTCTTATGATCATATCTATCTAAATAAAGTAATATGCATATGAAAAATGTCCAAAGTTATGTAGAAAAAAACATAAAATTTTTTGTCAAGTTTTAATAAATAAAAAAATAAAAAAATCGGAGTCACAACTGCTTAAGTCGAAGGCACGTAAAGGAATTGCACTCCGCTCGAGAGATATAATATGAAATGTCATGATACACTACGATATAATTATGTTAGGTCATGTTATATTATGACATACTATGATATGTTTTGAGATAAGAAGATTTATGATGCACAACCCTTAATATATGATTTAAAGGTTATACTATGAATGAAATGATTTTGTAAGGTTTTACATATGTATATTACTGAGTATAATATGTGAGAAAGGAATAGAGGTTGTGCATAATTCAATTACAATGGAAAATGTTGGGACCTTATACATAAATGTATGTTCACGTGCATCGGGATACTTTCTCTTTTGATGAGTACGGACGAGTACACTATAAAATTGAAATGATATGTTTATCATGATGCTACGATGATCGTTATTTCTTCTGGGTGTTTGGCAAAAACACCAGAGACGCTAGCTCGACCAGCAGGCTCATGCTCGCACATGTGGGTCGTGTGTAGAAAAGTAAATACACATTCAATTTGCCCGGATGGAAAAGCCGCCTAAGAAAAGACATTTTAAATGATAGGTCTCATTCATGCATGTTGCATGTGTTTGCATTGTCTAACTAGAGTCACTTAGTATTTCTTAAAATACTCAAATCTTGTACTATTCTTATATTTCAGGTGAAGACAAGACACCCATATATGGTTGACAACATCGTCGCGTTGAAGATCATGGAACTTGTGTTTGGATAGTTTCATTTTATTTTCGTAGATCTTAGGTTAGATTAGGAAATTAGTCTTAGTCTTCTCTTTGATTTATTTATGATTCACATGAGTTATTTCATTGTTTTGTTTTAAAGCTTTTAATGCAAATATATTAGTCCATGACATCATTTTGTGAATGATTTTAAATGAACATTTTCGCATAGAGAGGTATCGTCAGGCATATGGTAGCAACTCTATTTCAATAGGAAATTAGGTGTTACTAATCTACAAACATAAGGCATATGGGACACCATCGAGCATGGTGACGAAGTTGGAGAGCATAAGGATAGGATGACTCTTGCTGCCATCTGCAAAGACAGTGTGGGAGACATTGCGAATAATGCATATGGGTGTGGAACATGTCAAGAAAGCAAAGATGCAGATCTTGAAGAGCAATTTTTTGGCTTTCTGCATGAAGGACGGTGAGTCGTAGATGACTTTGTCAAGAAGTTGACAACAATCGTCACTAGCATTCATTCGTTAGGCAGCATGAAGGAGATTTCAATAGTCAAGAAGTTCTTTCGAGTCATCCTCAAGATTCATGCAAATGGTTACTTCCATCGAACAATTCTATAACCTCAAGAACATGTCGATTGAGGAGGCCATTGGTTGTCTTAAGGCCCATGAGGAGAGACCTAGTGGCAGGAATGTCATCTACCGAAAAATAACATTACGCTTGCAAGCCTATTAATTATTATTATTATTTTTTTTTTTTTACATTATTCTAAAAAGATAAAATACTAGTTCATTTCAAAAGATTAAATTTTTATAATTTTATATTTAATAAAGTCTTACCCCATTGAAAAATATGTAATAATGTATTTCATTTTATTATTATTATTATTATTATTATTTTGTAAAAACTAGATTTGAGATAACTACTCATCCCGGTGTACGAGAATTGATCAGTGTACGAGAGTTGATCAGTTTTATATGAATTATAGGATCCTTGATTTTTCGATATTTGTTGTGATTGACAATAAAGATTACTTGTTAGCATGGATGATGACACATATTTCATGTTGTGTTTCGCATTGGGAATAAGTGATAAGTGCCGTTGTGTTCCCATGGGCCCACCACCGCATTTTTTGACTGATTCGGTTTGCTCTTGAACCCCACGGAGTTAAGACTCCTCCCATTAAAAAAGCTTGAATTTGGCCATTTTTCACGATCCCATTGAACCCAAAAAGTTTTTTTGCACCGCCTTCGTCATTGCTTCTATCTTGGTTGGTCCATAATAATTCTGCATTTAATACCCACATGAACCACAAAAGTTACCTCATACAACTAGAACTCACATTTAAAATTTTTGTGTACAATAGACCTTTTATGTATAAACAGACTTTAAGATTTGGTTTCAGATTGGGTCACGTGGTACACCTATAACTCAACACACCTCTTGGTTTAGTCGGCTTAAACGGCTAAAAAATCGCTCTTGTGGCTTGGTAAAGGAAAAAATAGTCATTTTTCACTGTTTCGATTATCTCGTAGCTAAAATTGGCCTTGTTTAAGGCAAATAAGATCCATATAAGGAAAAATTTCTCGATTTAAGTTCAACTGAGTTAAGAAGTATTAGATTATTAACGAAACAGGATGAATATTCTAATAGGAAACGACAACTAGTGGTAATTTGGAGTAATTTTGAGGAACGAGAGCGAACATACTCGAATTAGGAAGAACGCTGGCTAAAGCCAACCAAGTAAGTGACCCTACCGTCTTTTGGTTATAATAGTGTGATGTATGATGACATGTGCTCATGGCTTCGCACGTGTCATAGGTTCGTATATGCAAACTATTATGAAACGTTATGTATATGCTATGAGATGTGATCGTTATGTTATATTTGATGAATTGATATGTTTATGATATGATATGTTGAAGACATGTTCGGGACATGTTATGTGACTGTTATGATATATGATATGTTTATGTGCATGACGTGGATTGTTATGTCTGAAAGCATGAAAATGTTATGATATGATATATGTGCATCATGAATAATATGATATGATTGATATGCAAAACGACAAACTAACATGAAATACAACCCCGACAAGCATAAAAGAAACGATAAATTATATGAAATGAAGAAGACACTAGTGGGGTTGTAAACGATAATGAACATGGAAAAATGTTGGGACCTCATACATCGGGAGATACCTTTATTCCTTCTTGATAGTACAGACGCATATGCTACGAGGCATACAAGGCAAGGGAACGATCATTATGTTAATCCTAATGATTTCGTGACGGTCGCTATTCCTAACGGGTGTTTGACATCAACAGCTACTAGAGAATGCTCGCCCGACTAGAAAGGAGCCCAGAAGGTGTGCAAACTGACTGGTGGGTCCATGCTTGCACGTGTGGACCATGTGTAGGAAAATTAAGCACACATCAAAGTTACACGTTAGAATAGCCGATGTAGGAAAATAGACTATTATGATAGATTCCATTCATTAAATTGTATGTGTTCGCATTTAACCTCGATAGAGGGTCGCTTACTGAATATTTCTTAAAATACTCAAGTCACGTGCTACTCTATTATTTCAAATAAAGGCAAGACTCTTTTGTATAGCTAACAATGACATCGCAACTACGAAACTGTAGCACATACTTAGGGTAGTTTCGTAATTTAAATTTAGTAGACTATACGTTAGTGCATTTTCATTTAGCAGTATATAGGTTAGTATAGAGTATTTTACTTTATGTTATTTTTTTTATTAATTCAATTTGTATTATTTTATTTCAAAAAGACTTAGAAGTGACATTAAGGACAATATGAAGTTTTATTATTTATTATAAAGTTTAAATAAAGGTTCAAGTGAGAAATTCTATATTAAATGTTCATAATATATACATAATAGCGGTATTGAATTAAGTAGAAAATTTAAGACATGCGTTCGAAGAATACAATACGTGGAAATGCCCACATGGCTATGACCTTGTTGGGGAGAAGAAAGCTCCCGAGGAAAAAAGAGCGGACGGGTAGAAGCGGTCTATTTATATTTTCTTTAATTTAATATAAATATTCTAAATTTGAATGATTATCCAACTCCCCAACTTGAAGCTAGGACAACATAAAACTCCCCCAAAAGTAGGGAGATGACAGACTTGAAGAAAAAGGAGAACGATAATTGAATATATGTCCCCATTTACGTACGTCCTGACACTCTTGTTCTACGACGCCTGTGGAATAAAACAAAACACACGCATCTTTTTTTACCATTATCTGTTCCCACAAATAAAAATTGGCAAAATACCAACACTTAAAATTTCACAATGCAATTTTATACAAATATGTTGTACATATATCTTCGTAATTTTGGGCTATTTATGTAAAATTTAAAATTTTGATTGTTACACCAGGTGGACACAAAAATTGTTGAGGTTTAAAAATGTGTCACCAAAACCATAGAAACGGGACTTCCAGCTCCCCATCCCAATGTCCCTGTTCATTAACATAGCGTAGACCTCAAACGCAGTAACAGCAAGCATAGCACAGGCCAGGGCGGATATGTAAACTTTCCTCTCCAACCCACCACAGTCTTCTTGGTTTCTGGGCTCCAAGACAAGGGTGCGTTCCCTCAAGATGACGTTGAGCGTGGAATGAGTCCGGAACATCATAGTGACAGCCTGGAGGAAGATGAATAAGTAGAGAGCGGTGGCAGAAAGGCTCAAACCCACAACAATCCACCAAGGAACACAGTTGTGGGAGGAGGAAGTGAGAGAGACGGCAAACAAAAAGCACCTCTCCCATATGAGATACCCCAAAGCTATGTTGCGGGCTTGCCTCTCCAACTCACCAAGCCTCGATTCTTCTTCATTAGCAGCGGCATTCAACGCCTCAACACGCCTCAACACTCCTCGATTCTTCTTCATTAGCAGCCCTTAATCTGTTCAATTTGGGGGAAGCTTGACCGATTATATATAGCCACATAGGACCACAAAACTTTAATTCCAAAATACGTTATATATATATATATCTATACAATGTATTTTGGAATTAAAGTTGTGTGTTTAAAATAATAATAATAAAATCAGTAAATGAGAAATACAAAAAAAAAGATGCAGCCACGAGATGAATCGAACGTTTATACAAAGGTAACGAAAAATCCATTTGTTTGAATCTTTAAGACTCGATCATTTTTTTTTGCATATTGCGTAATAAGCCATGAATATGGCTTGTTGACTTTATAGTAAAGAAGTCTATAAAGTTGTAGAAGGAATCAAGATGAAATACATTTTGGACGGTTTGGAATACATAGACTTTATAGTAAAGAAGTCTATAAAGTTGTAGAAGGTATCCTACTTGGACGGTTTGGAACTAGTCGGATAATGCATTTTCTGATTGTTCCAAGGCGACTTCTTGATTTTAATTTCCATAGTAAAATTCTACTCTTAGCTTGATTGAAAGGATTGTATAATGTATGATGACGCACGCCTTGTAACTCCTACACGCGTCACAAATTATGATTGTTATATTATGTTGTATTATGTTATGTTATACTATGTTATTTTATGTTATGTTATACTATGTTGGATCATGCTATGTTATGTCATGTTATGGTATGCGATGTCATGCTATGTTATGTTATATTATGATAAGCTATGGCATGTTACATAAAATTGTTATGAGATTGATATTTTATATGTTATGTCATGTTATGGTATGCGATGTCATGCTATGTTATGTTATATTATGATAAGCTATGGCATGTTACATAAAATTGTTATGAGATTGATATTTTATAACGCATAAACTTCCATAAACTATGCCACAAAAGTTATGCTATGTATGAAAGAATGGAGGTGCAATTTACAAACTTAATTATGTTATAAAAGAATAGAAGGTATGCCATGATAATAAACTACGAGGACCTCAGGCATATTTGTGTGTCTTGTGCATCAGAACACTTTTTCATTATGATAAGTATAGACGCACATTACAACTTATAATTTATAACATTTAATGTTTACCATGATATTATTGAAAGGAATGAACTCATCATCCACGTAGCGGAAGCATTAGGAACCGTTTTGATTTTATTATGAATTAAAAGAAAAGCAATAAATACGAGAGTAAGAACTCTACCTTTGTAGAAACTCTAGCTTGCAAGAAGTTCTTCAAGATTCTACAAGATCTTTCTTGCTATGACTCGAACACAAGACCAAGGCTTGTGGGAGCCTCTTGAAAGAAAATCTCAAAGATATTGGAGAAGAAGAAAGAGTTTCGAGCATTGTCTAGAAATGTAATTTCATTCTCAAAAAAAAAAAAAAAAAAAAAAGAGAAATTAATGTGTTTGAGGGTCCTATTTATAGGGACTCTTAAAAAAATCTTTGACAAATAATATATTTGTCTATTTAATATATTAGGATATAATACCTTTTACAAATCATGGTCAGATATTTGGTAGATATTATAAGATATCATAATATATATTTAATGTATCAAAATATAATTTAATTTTTAATTTTTAATTGTATCAAATGCAATAAATATATATTTTTTTTTAATATATCTAATATATTAAATATTAATTTCTACCTTTCAGATTAATATATTTTTCTCTATTTATATTTAATATATCTAATATATTAAATATTAATTTCAACCCTTTAAATTAAATATATTTTTTCTATTTATTTAATATATCTAATATATTAAATATTAAATTGATATTTCAAATTAAATTTATTTTTTCTTTTATATTTAATATATCAAATATATTAAATATCAATTTGAACACTTAAAATGAGATATATTAAATATTATTTTAGACATTTTAAATTAAATTTATTTTTTCTTTTATATTTAATATATCAAATATGAATACTTCAAATTTTCTTTCAAATAAATTGAAGCGTTATTATGAGCTAGCGAGGGGACTTTATGGACCTACAGATTATAAACTCTAATGATATAAAATTAATTAATTAAACTCTTTAATTAATCAATTTTCATTCATTAACTCTAGGTCACTCTACAATAGACTTAGAGTTGCACTCTTATGCACTATAGGACAAGTTATGTCCATTGATATAACCATTACAAGCAAGTCCATCCTTCACGAGTTGTTCATAATCCAGTAGAGTCAAAAGTTCATTTTAGCCTATAATTACATCTTTCACCTTAAGTACCACTGATTCTCTAATGAACAATTTGTCTATGATCCAATTATAAACCAAGTCCCTCTCGGGCTGATGAGAGGGTGGGACCCATTGTTAAAGTCCCGAAATCAATACTTAAACAACAACTATCTACTTTCCTTATATGGAAAGGAGTGAATTCCATCCCATGATATTATGTTCCAACTCCCTATTTGGTCAAGTCCCCAAAATAGTAGGCATGTTGAATGGGCTAAAAGAGTCATTCTCACCCATGTAAATTAAAGTACAAGCCCTCGTGCATAACTTACTAAGATTGAGTCGCATATGATCATCATGTGAAATATTAATCTTCTCATTTAACATATTTATAAAGAGATATTAAATATTTCTTAGTCTAGTCTTATACAAACTCATTGTCTAGGATACCCCCACTTACATGTCTCACATGAATGATTTGGATCAAATCATTTGTAACGATTACAATGTGGGTCGTTTCAATAGTGTTACCCGGACAAAGTACCCAATCTTATCCATATACTATAGACTCTTTAGGTTATTACTTGAACACGATACTCTTGTATGTCAACCACATATTATTGAAGATTATATTAATAATCTTGGATTTTCATACCATGGATAATAATTAAATTACGAATAAAATAATAAAAATTATGGTTAAAAACTAAATAATTAATTACGAGGCTTTAGGGCATAAATCCCAACAGTTATGCAGGTCTTTTCCCTCCGTGGTGTTCGACAAGAGCCCACGAGTGTTAGCTCGACGAGCCAAGCCTAGGGGTGTGCGAGCTCATCTGGTGGGTCCATGCATGTATAGAGAAGTACTACACATCCAACCTTGCTCGGACAAGAAAGTTGTCTAAGGTCATGTTATGATACGTCCTAATCCCAATAGTGAGATTACTTACTGAGTATTTCTTAAGATACTCAAATCATGTACTACTCTTACATAAGTAAAGGTAAGACACTCGTGTATGGTTGATGGCGTCACGATGAAGGTCATAGGACCAATGTTAGGGTAGTTGCATTTGTTGGCTTTTTGGCCCTTAATCTCAAATTAATTAAAATTAATTAATTAATTAACTAATGTTTTGACGATAACAAACCTACATTCAATTATTAATAATTCTCAGTATTTTGTGCACAGTGTAAGGTTGGGAATAACGATTTCAACGTCTTTTTTAGTTCACTTAAATTAGAGCTAAAACGAAGAAATTTGAGTCGAAAAACAAGATACCCGACGTGATGATGTGGCGGTAAAAGTGACATTATGGACCAATCTAAGTATGACATTCTCATAATAAAAATGAATTTAAAATGTTTTAATATTTGGTAGAGTAACAAAGGTTGAGTTTTCAATTACTTTTGAATTGAAATAAAATTATTTGAATTATAAAAATAAACCGTTACTCAAATTATTTTCATTAATATTTTTTTTTATTATATTATTACATTTATATATATATATATATATATATATATATATATATATATATATATAATGGATTTAAAATGTTTTAATATTTATTTAAAATATATTATTTTTCGTGGTGGTTGTAGTGGTCTGTATCAATTTCTATTTTTACCAATTGCTCACTATTTAAACTCATCACTCCTCCATAGTTGTAGGAACACGACACAATTTTTTCAATCTAAATTTTTCTAAAGCTTTCATTGTTGCTCTCTACCGCTTCCAAGTTTATTTCTTGTTCATATTAAGAGATGTTTAGCTTCCAAGTTTATTTCTTGTCTTAAGAGATGTTTATTGTATTGTGAGAAATAGTTGTGAGTAATCAAAATTGTAAATCTACTCTTTTATAGAGTTGTAGTGTGTTCTTAAGAGATTTAGATAATTGTACCGGTTTGATCCTAAGCCGTGGAAATGATTGAGTTTGCTCCTAAACTCGTAAAAAGAGCTGTGTACTGGTTTGATCCTGAGTTATATTCAGACAATTGTACTGGTTTGATTCTGAGCCGTGGAAATGATTGAATTTGCTCCTGAACTCGTAAAAAGAGCTGTGTACCGGTTTGATTCTGAGCTGTATTCAGACAATTGTACTGGTTTGATCCTGAGCCGTGGAAAGGAATGAATTTGCCCTTGAACTCTAAAAAGAGTTGTGTACCGGTTTGATCCAGAGTCATGGAAAGAATTGAGTTTGCTCCTAAACTCGTAAAAAGAGCTGTATACCGGTTTGATCTTGAGCCATGAAAAGAATTGAGTTTGCTCCTGAACTCGTAAAAAGAGCTGTGTATCGGTTTGATCCTGAGCCGTAGAAAGAATTGAGTTTGCTCCTAAACTCGTAAAAAGAGCTATATGCTGGTTTGATCCTGAGTCGTGGAAAGGATTGAGTTTGTTCTTAAACTCGTAAAAAGAGCGTTGTAGCGGTTGGGCTGTGATTCGAGGAAAGAGTTAGAAAAGTTTATTCAAATTATCAAGAGGCGCTTGGAGAATGGAGTAGAGTTTAACCGAACCACTATAAAACAACCCTCTCCTATTTAAGTTCTAAAATGTTATTAAGTTAGCATGTTCTAAGTTTCATTTATAATTGTTCACCTAATTTATTGTATTAATTATTAATTATTAATTATCGTATTCTATTTACCTTTTTAAAAAAAAGATGGATAATTAGAAAAATTTAATCAGTTTAAATTATTTTATTATTGAAACTCTGTGTTGATGTACATTTCACATTTATTTTCTACTATTTTTTTAAAGTTAATTCGTTTATGAACTATTTTAAATGAGTGTTTTTGTACTTAATAACCATATCATGCATGTAGTAGCGGTTCTATTTGAATAGACAAATAGGTTTCCAATTTTTTTCATCATATGTGTTAAGAATTATGAACCTCTACAATGATATGATATTGTTTATTTTGAGCATAAGCTCTCATGACTTTACTTTTCGTTCCCAAAAGACTTTATATCAATGTAGATGTATTCCTCTACTTATAAACTCATGATCACTCCTTAATTCGCCGATATGGGACTCCTCTCCCAACAATCTTCAACAATATGTTTGGGAGGAAAACCCGAAAAGAGCTAGCGATCAAATAGGGCAAATGAAGAGTTGTCGTTAACAATTCGATCATTTTCTAGATGTTGAAAACTTGATTGTTCAATTTTGAAAACTATAGATTAATTCCAAATCTTTTGTGAACATAATGGTAATTATCCTATCAGGCATGACTATCATAGACAATAGTTATAGCTATTCGTGAGAGCTAGGGACAAAAAACGAGATGAAGTCGAGTTCATTCTTCAATTTCTTTTTGTATATAAACTCCTCTTATTATTTAAACGTCTATTTAACTAAAACATGACATAATGATAATACACACATAATTCAATTGATTAAAAACGTGCACGTCATGTAAGAGATTTTAGGTTAAATGGGTCCATTTGGTTGCCAATTTAGTTGATAAATTACTTTCATATGGTTAGGCCTAAAATATCATTTTTATCATCTTACACGTGATGGGTATTCAACTTTAAGAAGATAGAGAAGGAAAGGATAAGAAAGAAATGATAAATTTTCACAAAATGTTCATATATGTGACGTTAAATGTTGTTATACGGGGACGATTAGGGATTTGTCAACGAACTCTTAATTGTGACCTCTACACGATCATCGAGGGTCTGGATGATATTATAGAACTGACTATAATTTATGTGTACTCTGTCGAGACTATTATGGGGTTTGCTAGTTAATTTTCTTTTAGCGAACCTGTCAGATCGACAAGGGTCTTTGAAGTACTTTTACGAGTTGTTTGAGCCCTAAAATGCACAAACCCATTAGAACTCTGAAAGCGCATTGTGGCATTATGGATGCAGTTTAGAGAGTTTCCAACTACTCCCTAATCGTGAACTTGTTTGGATAACAGCGAGAGACCACATAGGTAGAGGATATTGGCTTGACCGAGGGTCGCAATATTTTTTATGTTGCTTACATTATGGGGACTATCGGGGGGAATGCCAACTAAACTCTTTTAGAGATTACGAGAACAGTGTCCACAACGATATGATAAGAATTATGGGTTAGAATATAGATGTCAAGGTTGCGCCTCGAGAGCCTACTGACAATAGGTCTATGATAATGATGACGAGGTTCACAAGAATGACGACAACGAACGAAACAAGAACCCTTAGAGCCCCCAATATTTTCGTGCACGCTTCCTCCGTCTTCTCCTCCGGTCACTATTCAATCTCCATGGGTTGTTGCCCGACCACCACTCATCATTCAAATATTCATCGTCTTTCAAAATCGCATTTTTCTAATTGTTGAGATCCTGATTGTTTAATTTTGGAATCTAGATACTAATTTCAAACCTCTCGTCCTAGACAATAGTAGTTGCTATTGGTAAGAACGAGGGGAGAAAAACGAGATAATTGGAATCTAAAACTAAATGATGAGATTTAAAAATTTAAAATTAGAATCTAAAACTAAATTAAAAGAAAAATAAATGGATTCATTTCGTATTTAGGCGATAATCAAAGAAAAAGAAAGGAAGAGATTATAATTTTTTTCTTTTGGTCCAGAGAGACAATCAAATTAGATACGTCAAGGAACAAAACACGATCACTGATCGTTAGGGCAGAAAAGTTTGAATTACATTACCCACTTGTTTTGAAGTTTCCGAGGGATTTTTCCATTGGGAAATCGCCCATGGATTCAAAATCCGCACTACCTTTTCACCTTTTGACTTCGTAATTTACTTCTTGTAATTCGAGGGGATTTTTGCCGCACTTTCCGTTGTTCTTTCATTGTTATTATAAAATGATTTTTGATGCCGAATCAGGAACTAATCTGCACTCGGGCTTTGCCGCAAACAACAGGGATCCGAACAATTCGTTGCCTCGTCAACCCTTTTCCCTCTGTAAGTGTGCTTGTTTCTTAGCGCCGACCCACTTCGGTTTCTTATCTAGACTTGGTTTCTGTATTTTCGTTTCGTTTTTTTATATGAAGTTTCAAGTTCTTGGCGTCTGCTCTTTGTAGGGTTTGTGAATCTCGATTGTTTCTTGATTTTTGTAGTGTTAAATGGCTTCGGATCCGAAGGTTCATCTGTTCGAAGAAGTGGCAAAGCACAACAAAACCAAAGATTGTTGGCTTGTAATCTCTGGGAAGGTTGGATTGGATCTCTCTTAGTTGATTGTTCGTATCATTTTTATTTAGCACAGATTATCAGTTCTGCTATAATTTCTGGATATTTCTCTTTTGATTGGTAAGAAAAGCATATGGATATGGCTAATGTTCTTAACTCTTGCTAACTCAGTGTGCCCATTGGATATCTGCTACAAGAGTCTGATATAGATGCCTTAGCTTTGGGGTTTCATTGTTTTGTATGCACTTTCACACATTTCTGTTTCAGATTCTCAAATTCAAATATCTTCTCCCGTTTTCTTCATTGCTTATGTTCATACGCGAGATTCCATATATGCTTTTAATATAGAAGATAATTTAGTCTCATTTCTTTCTGTTCTGTTTCTATTATCTGGATTTGTTTGTATGACTGAATTACATGTTTATGTAGTGTCTTAATGTTTCTGTGCCATAGTCATCTCAAATGGGGAAATAATGGTGGAGAGCTGTTAGGATGTTTATATTATAGTGTGTGAAAGGCTATATAAAGGACTGAAATTGAGCAAATGATTTATTGTGAGATTCCTCGTTGGTTGGAGAGGAGAACGAAACATTCTTTATAAGGGTGTGGAAACCTCTACCTAATAGATGCGTTTTGAAATCGCGAGGCTGACGGCGATACGTAATGGGACGAAGTGGACAATATCAGTTAGCGGTGGACTTAGGCTGTTACAAATGGTATCAAAGCCAGACACCGAGCGGTGTGCCAACAAGGACGTTGGGCTCTCAAGAGGGTGGATTGTGAGATCCCATGTTGGTTAGAGAGGAGAACGAAAGATTTCTTATAAGAGTGTGGAAACCTCTCCCTAACAGACGCGTTTTAAAATCTTGAGGTTGACAGTGATCCATAATGAGCCAAAGCGGACAATATGAGTTAGTGGTGGGCTTGGACTATTACAAATGATATCAAAGCCAGACACTGAGGAGTGTGCTAGCGAGGACACTGGCCCCCAAAGGGGGTGGAATTTGAGATCCCACATTGGTTGGAGAGGAGGACGAAACATTCCTTATAAGGGTGTGAAAACCTCTCCCTAACAGACACGTTTTAAAATCGTGAGGCCAAAACAGACAATATCAGTTAGCGAGTTAGCGGTGGGCAGATAAGATATCTTTTCTGATGTTTGATTGCCTGTGGCCTTGGCTTTAGGTTTATGATGTAACTCCTTTCATGGAGGATCATCCTGGAGGCGATGAAGTATTGTTAGCAGCAACTGGTAATCCTCTGAGTTCCCTTACAACAAACACTAGATTTCGTTTCCTTGAGTTCTCGTGCAAATGACGATTGCGATGATACGATAACAGTTACTGATTCGAATGTTTTGCAGGAAAAGATGCTACGAACGATTTCGAAGATGTTGGGCACAGCGACTCGGCAAGAGAAATGATGGACAAATATTACATTGGAGAAATCGATCCATCAACAGTTCCTTTGAGGAAGATTTACATTCCATCACAACAAACACAGTACAATCCAGATAAGACAGCTGAGTTTGTGATTAAAATCTTGCAGATTTTGGTTCCCATATTTATTTTGGGTTTGGCATTTGCTGTTCGTCACTACACCAAGAATGAATGAATAAGTGAATGAATAAAGCCTCTAGAGGGTAAACTGCTTATTCATAATGATTATGTTTGGTTTGTGTTTTCATGTGGAGGGTTGGTCGTAGACTAGAGTTGTCTGGATCATATCTTATATTCTACTTAATAATAAGTTAGCTAAGTGCTATGTTCTTGTTTTCTTTTTCAATTTTGCATCTCGAAGTTGTATCAAAATGCGGATAACTATTTGTAACCTTAAAACGATAAGGAATCACTTCAAGGGAAGGTGAGATTTTGATTACCTTGTTGTTCGAATATCTCAACATAAGAACACTTGTTTGAGATTCGAATCACTCCAGAGCAAGATTGTTCCTGTCAAGTTTGAATGATTCTAAACATGCAACTTAAACGATATAGAATTGTAAAGAAACTTAGCCCAAAAAAGCACAAATGTTCTTTTTACTACGTTTTTTCAAGCTACTTTACAAATATGACATACATGACTTTTTATAGCCTCAAAATAAAACCTTTCACCTTCCCTAAGATATTCCAAGAGTAGTAACTTTCATATTTTATGACCATAATTTACTACGTAAATGTAACCTTTAGAGCTCTCGATTATCATTATCCACCCAAAATTTGTAATGGTTTTAGATGGTAATCTATGTTTGAATGTTTCAATAGGCAACAAGAAGCAAGTTGTCACTAATGCATTGACCACTTTCAAGCCTTTCGTGAATAAATTTTTTATCCTTATTTTTGCATATTCGTCTTTATATTCTATGATGATATTTTTATCTGCAGCTCTAATTTGGATGCTCATTGAACACATTTATTCTCAATTTTCTCATTATTAACGGAACATAAATTGTGTGTCAATCTAAATTATGGTCTGCGTTGAATATGTTGGTCATTGGATTTCTACCGCTAGAGCTGAGATTGACAAGACAAAGATCCAAGCGGGCTGTGAGATTGACAAGACAAAGATCCAAGCTATGCTACACTGGACGACCCTTTGAAACATTCATGTCCTTGTTTCGTAGCCAATTATTATCGTTTGCATTTTTTTACCCAAACTTTCACTTGCCACTAAATGGTATGAATCCTACCATGCTATTTGAGACTACAGAAAAATTTCAAAATAGACATTAAATGTAGTTAATTTTCAATCAAGTCGAGTTTCATTTATGGAACAACGGCTTCAAATAGAAAAGCGAGGCTTCATTTAGGGAAAGGAAGACTACAAACACTTCGTTGGCTGATTGTTAATCTATAATCATGTTGTCTAACATAAATAGAGATACCTATCAGATCAATACTTTTAACAAAAGGAAAAACGAATACTTGAATTAAGTCAAGTATAAGATATCACACAAACACTATAGGTCAGAAGTTCATATAACTTACACCACAAAGCAAAGCAACATGACTTGTTTGAGACATATATGCGAACACAGGAATGGCGAGTTGATAAGTTTTGATACGAAAACAGGCGTTTCCATGAATCATTGGATTCGGTTCTATTCTAAACATATCATCCCACAGAAACTTCACTGATTCGCCATCGTCTCACCTCGTATATTTCAGACACAAGCCAACTGGTTTTCTTCATCATTTGAATGAATGCCTGCTTGCTATGATGCCTTAACTTTTGAGGTTTTATAGTATGTGCACTAACCCAAACAGATATTCTAACTTAGGAGCTTTTCATTGTAAGCTGCAGTTCCGACAGCATAACGAAATGGCCCCAAGTTCCCACCCTTTTCAGGACCCCAACAGCCAAGACTACCATACCAACAGGTTAGTGAAAACTAGAATGGAAATGAAAATGAAAATGGACCCGTCACTTATTGGAAGGACGTCTCTATCTTGTCGTGTAAAGTTACCACCAAATCGTGTGCACCGTCGAGAAGCTTCCACACATCAAGGTGCCCAGCCATGCTATTACATTCCCTCAGAATTTCATCCATGCTATTATACTTCTCTATGATCAGTTTTCTTCTCTGTAGTACTGAAGCAGCTATCGCATAGAGCAGTAAATCATCTGTTGGGGGAGCTCGTTGCCTTATCCGGCTCCATGCAGACTTCCCTATTCCAGCCCTTATGGCTGCCTGATCAGCCCACATAACTTCCCACAGACATAACGTCTGCTCAAATGTCAACTCCCTTCTGAATAGCACCACAACCATCCGATAAACGAAAAAGCAATCTTCGGCCTGAAGTTTCTCCAGGTGCTTGTAAAGGTGCGAGTCCTTGCACCTAATAATCTTGGAGACTATATTTAATTGCCTTATAATGCCAACCTCATCGAGCCTAAAGTTGTGGCGAGCCTTGTGCATGAAACCAACAAAACACCAGAATGCCTCGTGATCCTCTGAAATCACGGTTATGATAGGAGAGAGTAGATCGCTCATGCCTTGACAATAACCAATTTCAGGGTCATAGAGAGCATATGCTTCAAGAATTGCCACTAGCCTTGCAGCATGGAAAATCATACAAGGTTCTAGATGGTCGTAATCAACTAAACCAACAGCTTCAGCGTACTCCCTAGCTCTGTCATTCGAAACCATTGCTTGAGATGATGACAAGTATGGTACCCATTCTGAGTTAGAACGAAGTGCATCAAGTCGAATAATCCGCTGCCATGTTGTAAAATCTTCACTATTAGGTAAGACCTCAGTCCTTGAGGGAGAAGAATTTTCCTTGGCCGTCGTATCAAGATAAGGCTCTTCCATTCCATCCGTGGAGGGAAAGGTTTGAGTAACATCCAAGTCATCTGAGGAGTCTGAATCCGACGAATCTGAATTCAGTACCAAAAAACCATCAGATGTTATCCATCTTGAATTCCCCTCCCCTTCCAACAAAGGGCAGAAGGCTTCATCTAAGAATTCAACATTGGAGCACCTTTCTTCACTTGAAATGGACTCTCTAGCACTAACCCCGTCTTCAGAAATAGGAGAATCTATGTCTCGGACAAGAAAGCCATTTTCCCCATCAATCATGTCCCTAAATTCATTCCACTTAGAGCTTTCATTCCTACGTTTTATTA